GGCATCTACTACAGGCATCCCCCAAACATCATTACTGATGAGTGCCACAAAAGAGGGAGGTGGGAGAGTCTGGTTCTGTCGTATTGGATGCCAGATGCATTGGTAGCAGATGTTGGTGAAGCGCTGCTGTTACAGCCTCCTTCATACTTAGCTAACCTTTTGAATAGCTCCTCTGTAGGCAGGCAGTCTATTTAGTCTCTTTTCTTGTATTTAAGTAATTTTCTCCACAACACTGACTGAAATCCTTTCATATCAGCAGCTTCTCTGCTGTGACAATTGTTAGATGATTCTTGATTATAAAGGAAGACATATCTGTTGCAGAATTCCTGCTTTCTGTATGAGGTTTCTTGCTTTTTGCTCATTGGACTTGTTGTTGGGGTGCTTTTGAGGTGCTTTACAGCTGCAATTTTCTTCTTTGGCCAATGACTAAGGAAAGCCTCTCTCTCTGTAATTCAAATGCTTCAGAATTTTATTTTCCAGTTCTTTAATTGTTGTGGTTCTAGGATTTATGGGATATAAGGTAACCTTTATTGTTGGTAAGAGACCCTGAATAAACACCTCCTTAAATTCAGGCATATCACATGTTGCTACACCATTCACCACAGGAGATAAACCTGACAGCCAATACAATAACCACTTTCTTCCCAAAAACCTTTCTGGCCTTTCACCAGATTTTTGCCTCTCAGAATAAAATTTTCCCAGAATGTTCTCATGTAGGAAGTACAATTCATATACAGCATCATATCTCTCAGCTATCTCCCATATGCGAGCCAATTGCACCTCTCCGGGTAACGCTCCGGACTCTTCCCTGCTCACTCACTCATGTAGCAGAGCCCTAGTAGCCATGTTGCTGGTCTCGCCAAGCCAAGCCAATGAAGGATCCTTATTTAATGGGCCCAGAGTTTTGCCCCTTGCTCTGGGTTGGTCTGACCTTGTTTCCACAGGTCAGTTTGGGCCATAATTTACTACAGTAGTTATGGTGGCCATTGGGGGGCAGGTGGCGTTCTACCCTCCCCCCTTCGTTCCCTCATAGCTTGTTAACTCTTCTTGAATCTGAGGGGCAGAAGGTTGCATTCTTGTTTCTTTAACCTCTCACAAATCAAAGTCATTTTCTGATCCCTCTTGATTAGGGCAGCTTTCAGATCCATAACCTTTTACAGGGTCAGTACTCAAGGCATTGAGCATACCCTGGGCTCTTTTTAGCTTAGCAACTCAATTTTGTTCTTATATGTGGTATGATCTCCAACGTTGTGTTTACTATTCTGAACCACTTTGACCAGCTCTCATATAGCAGCTTGGGATTCCTCCATTTTAGTAGCTAAAACAAAGTTCTTCTTGTCCTTTTTCACCAAGCATGCATTAAGCTCTTTAACCTGCTGCTCTAGCTGGTTGATTTGTAAACAGTGGTTTAACCCTTGAGCTGACAAAGTATTGCTTTGTAATGTTAATTTATCAATGTCAGCTTCCTTTTCAGCTGTGTTCTTTCAACTGGGAGATTACCTTGCTTTTAGATTTTATGTGTTCGTGCCATTCTCTAGACACCATGACTAGCCCATATATGAGAGCTAGTTTCTTTGTTTTCTTATTGGGGATAGGCTTAACCATTACAAAATTCTCCCAAGTTCAAAACAATTTTTCAAATGCATCCTCCCCATTAAAAAAATAATTTCAGCCCATGGATTTTTCCATTTACAAAAAGAATTTACACAATGTTCCAATTAATTTGTATTGCACTCCTCACTCCATCCGCTGGGACTGAAGCTTTAGACACATTTCACAAATCAAGTAGTGTGTCTGGCTCACACAGCAACACTACTTCCCCCAGCACTTTACTGGTGACTACCAAGAGTCGGGACAAGCAATGCTCAGCAACAATGCTGGCCTGCCCCAGAGTTATTAAACTCCCTTTATCTCAAACAGCACTCCCACCGGACTCTCTCAAGGCCAGAGTCTGCTGTACTCATTGGGCCTATGTCATGCTCAGTGGGCCTAATGGCTGGCCTGCTATCAGTCCTCAGTTAGCACACCACAAAGAGCTCCCACAGAGCATTCACTGGTGCCTGACTTCAGCAGCTGGGTCTCAAAATAAGAAAAGCTCCTGGCCAAATACCAATGCTGCCCTCCCTCAAGACTTGTGGCCGTCCCATAAACCTTAGATGAGCAGATTATAAAAACTTAAAGCAACTGCGACCATCAGGGGTCCTGCTGTGATCACCAGAACTGTTACCAGAAGAGACTGGTGGAATTGATTTAAGGACCCCACTGCCCTAAAAGGATTGATCCCTCTGTAGGGTCTATCACCTATTAGTCACAGGTCAAATGAAACTTAGTCATTTTAAACGATGAAAACATGCAGGAGGGTTTATTAAGAGGGTACATAACAAAATATAGAGAAAAGTACAATAAAGCATAAAACAGCTCGGTGGTTTTACAAGTACAGCTGGCTTGAAGCCCAGACCCAACCCCTAACCAATATGGACACAACAATAAAATGTCAACATTACTCAGTCTCTAGGAGTGACAGGAACTCAGGTGTAGATGGCTCACAATGCTCTCGTCTGCCTTGCTTCTCAGGTAACTCAGGTCAAGACCTTGAGCACAGCTACTGGAATCAGGAACTCGAGATGGAACAGGATATCTTCCTCGATGACAGACAACCTCAAAACACCTGTGCTTACCTGGATGTTCCTTTTTCTCTGTTGCACAACCGAGCAGACATGAATTGAACTGAACATGGGCTGCCTCCTGAGCAGACAGCCCTTGACAGAGTGTGTAGTCCCCTTATATAGACTGTCACAAAGCAGAATAACTGGGAGTCAGATGACCCCTTCCTGACTTTACTGTTGTTAGGTAGATTAGGCTTAAACTTTAACCAATCAGAAAAATAGGCACCTAAAAAGGGTGCCAACCTTGGTAACAAGAAGGTGGACAAAGATGGAGGGTGAAAGATAAACCACCACCACCAAAATGTCTAAAAGCCCCAACACTTGTTCCTTATTTTGTTTTCATTTCTCCAAATTTATGATGGTGTAACTCCATTGACTTCAATTATCCTAGCAGGAATTGAGTGGCATCAATGGTAGAGTAAAGGCAGGTGTTACTGACAGCAGAATTTGGCTTCTCGCTGAGCGAGCACAGGTTTGATTACTAGAGCTACCTCTCAACACAGGAGCAATATTGCTCCATCCAATCCCACATCTTGGTCTACCCCACTGAAACTTCTCTGTGGGGATCTCCAGCTGTTAACATCAACTGAATAAGGCCCAAACTGAGCTTTTGATCTTTCTCTGTTCCCACACCTCTGTTCTCCCCCCTCATCACCATGTATACCACCACCATCCTCCCAGTCACTCAGGCCTGTAATGTCAGCATCATCTTTGACCTGGCCCCTTTCTAGACCCATACCCCTTTGTAGTGTTTAAGTCTTGTCACAACTTCTTACAGAACGATCCAGAGATCCAGCATTTTCTGTCTGTCCAGACTACCAAAGTTTCTGTTCCAAGCCCTTATGTTGTATCTTGAGTACTGTCATCTTCCTCTCTCTAGCTTACCTTGTCCTCCCCTTAAGTCCATTCAAAACATTTCTGCCAGCATTATCTTCCTAGCTCCTTGTCTGCTCATGGCCCCCCACCTCCACTTTGCATCCCTCCATTGGCTTCCCTCCACAAGCTTCTTTTCTGTGCCTTTATGGCCCTTCACCATTTAGCACTAATCTATCTTATCACACTGATGACACCTGCCTTCACTCTACCACTCAATTCCTGCTAGTCTGCTTTTCCTACAAGCCCTTCTCAGCACTACCTCTCCTCAACACCACTCCTTAATTGGAGGGAAACACTCCATCAAAATCCATAGTGTCACCATACTATCCTACTTCAAATCCCTGCTTAAAACTTTTTACTCCCATGAACCCTACAAATCACTGCCAGCTGATCATGGCTAGGCACGTGGTGAGCCAGACTGCTGCCTACTATGCATGCTGCCACTATGTGAAGGAACACAGTCTCATTCACTGAAGCAGCAGGAAGGTGGCTACAGAAGGAAAAGAACTGATCTAGTGGTTAAGGTTCTAGACTTGAATCAGGAGAACTGGATTTATCCCTGGCTCTGCTGCAGATTTCCCATGTGCTGTTGGACACCTAGCAACAGAGCATTTATGATGTTGTAGCAACAGCTGGATTATGAGACAGCATAGTGTGGAACCTGTGACATCAGCATGACAGTTTGCTGAAATCTGGGTTTGAACTTTGTGTTTCTATCTGGATCGAACTGGGGCAGCTGGTGTTGAGTTTTCTGCATGGGACAGTGAAAGACTTGTAAAACTGTGGCTACTGCCTGTGAATCCAGTGTTCTCCAGCCTCATTTTTGCCTCCCCTAGCTTTGTACCCAAGACCTCTATGGTAAGAGTAATAGTTTTCTTTGGTTTTTTATTTTCTTCACCTTCTGTCATAGGCTTTAAAATGTAAGCCAGGGGAAGAGTTCCACATTTTGTCTACATCCATTTTATTCAAAGCTCTTGCATGTGCTTCTTGTATACATTACATAAATAAATATTGTGGCTTTCCATAAGCCTAGAGGGCAGACCTGTCAGTGGCATGATCTCTACATAACTAACTCCTGGGTCTGCTGAAAGCCAGCCAACCCATTCTACTACTGTTACTAATGCCAAGACAGGGAGGTCTCTCACCTTCATTGGCTCATTTTGGCATCTCATTTATGAACTGACAGAAATTAATTCAGAGTAGTAAAATATTTTTCTCCTGGCCAGATACATTCAAGACGGTAGCACAGTCTCATGACTCCATGGTTCTAAGGGGAAGCTAATTTCATATCTGGTTGAACACCATCCACTAGACTCGAATCAGAGATAGATTTGTCCCCTATGTTTTTCTTCACTGACTTTTCAACTGACCCAGAGTTGAAGTGTTCTTTATGCTTACGTCAAAGGCCATGGGTTTTAGTCCAGGGCTTTGATCTGGTTATGGGGACTGGGTTAGGTCTCATCTACTCCTATTTGGGGTGGGGAGAGGGGAAGTTTACTCTAATGACTGCATCCAAAGCTGGGGGGAAAGAGGGGCAAAAAGTGGAAGACAGTATATAGAATTATGAAAAGTCAGGGGGACAAAAAGTTTTGGGGGGAGCAACTGCCTCTCTCACCCCATAGCAAAATGATACCACTGCTTTTCACCACAATATAAGTGGAGCCTCTGACTTTCTAGTAGTTCAGACAGGGCTTTGAATATTCAAGTGTAGTAGCTTTCCAGATATAGTTGGGCTGCCAGCCTGCATTTGGCCCACCTGAGCTAGTCGAAAAACATTTCTTTTACCAGAAGATTTTTTAAAAATAGTTTGTATCAGTTAAATAGGAGTGGGTGATTTTCCCTGATCTATGGACTAGGACACCCCTGAAAATACCCCAGATGTCCCTGACGATGTGACAGAACCACCAGGAATTAGGGACCAGGACCTGGAGACTAATTCACAGGCAGAACTGGATTCTCTGCAACCAGAACATGTTACCAATGATGGTGAGATCAACAGCTGGGTGGAGATGGAGCAGCCAAACTTCACGCTGGACCGAGTGGCTGAGACTGAGCTGGAGAAGATGCGGCTGGATATGGAGCTGACTATGCTGAAGTGTCAATATGAGGAGAAGGAAAAGCAGCGGCAGCACAAAGAGAAGATGGAGCAGATGCGCCTGCAGGCACCATCTGGACATGTAAGTTCAGGTGAAAGCGTAAACAGGGGGAGGCATGACCCAGATGTGTGCTCTCCACGTGGTCCCAGTTTAAAATATTTCCAAATCTCCACAAAGATTCATTTCTTTGAGAAGACTTCCATTCAGTCAGAATCAAACCCAAGAATGAACTCATAGCAGGATCTTACACATTAACTCCAGAGACTTTAAAAAAAAATACACTGGAGAAGTTATTTTGCCATTACTTGTAACTGGTTTGCCTACTAAATAGAGAGGGGTAAGAGTGGTTTCCCTGTCAGCCATATAAATGCATTGCTGCCTCAGTTTCCCTCACTGGTTGAATAGTTTAGCCCTCCAATTTCTCCCCTTCAACAGGGATGATAGATCAAAAAACAAACACAGAAGGGAAGTCCAGCAGACTCCTCCTCTAAGATCTGGCTTTCTCCTGAAGGACCAGGCACTTTTCCTCCCCTCACCCTCTGCCAAAAGCTCAGACCCTGGGATTTGGACTTGGACTCTACTTGAAGGGGCCAGCATACTCTATGGCAAGGGGATACAACTTCTACAGTGGAGCCGGTCAAAGAGGTCTTGTGACCTAAATTCCCTGTAAGGTGCGGGGCCACGCCTATTTAGTGCTGCACAGGCGCTCAGGGAACCCACCTGGGGACCTGCCATGGCCAGGGACCAGCCAGGGGACGGGCACCCCTCCCCCAGCCCCAACCTAGCCAAGCCCTGGACCTGCCGCAGCCCAGATCTCCTGGGGCCCGGGAAGGGGTGCCTCTCCTGCAGCCGAAGCCCAGGTGCTGCTGTGGAGTGAAGGAAGAGGCGCCTCTCCCCACCCCAGCCCAGCAGCTGCTGTGGGGGGGGAGAGGAGGAAAGAGAAGAGGCAGCTCCCCCCCCATAACCCCAGAGTACCCTCCTGCACCTTAAACCCCTCATCCTGGCCCCACCCAGAGCCCATACCCCTCCACCCCAACCCTTTGCCCCAGCTCTGAGCCCATCTCTGGCCCCAACCCAGAGCCTGCACCCCCTCCCGGAGCCCTTGCACCCCAACCCTCTGCCCCAACCCTGGGCCCCCTCCCACACTCCAAACCCCTCATCCCCACTCCCACCACATGAATGTGAGTGTGTGACACATCACCTCCACACTGGTACCCATTACAAAGTTTATTCCACACATGGGTTGGAAAAATTAGAGGGAACACTGCCTGTGACTAGAACATATTTTGAGGGTGTTCTAAAGAATTAGAGGGGTGGTTAACCCCAGGTGTAGCAAAGCAAACTGGCCTGATGGTTGATCTGAACAGCAGGTGCTATGCTCATCAAAAAATAATGGGAAACACAGTAGGATCTAAAAAGAACAGGCTAGATAACAGTTCATTTGTAGGGAAACCCAGGTAGCTCTGAACTTAAGACTCACTGCATCCAAACTAACGGCAACAAATGGGGAAATGTGGTGCCTAAAACTGCCAAACCAATAGGAAAAATGGAGCAAGTGTTGCTATTACAGCCCTGATGGACAACCATTCAGTAGGTAAACTGCTCCTCTTCCTTTCAGTAGCACACATTGAGCAAGTACTGGTGAATGGAAAGGTATAGCTTAAGGTTTAAGTGGAAGATAACTTTGTGCTGTACAAGATTCACCAGTTGAATTCACTTCCACATGAAGGCATCAGGGTAAGAGTGTGGTAGAGGAGTAACCTGTACCTGTGTTATTGGGAATTACTTTGATATCATTTACCCTACTAGCATGTGCAGTATCTCAGTCAGTTCAGGAATCTCTCAGTGGCAAGGACTGAATGGAAAAAGCTTGGTCTAATTCAGCCCTCAAGTAAATAAAAAACTCCTGAGATGCAGCTGCTTACATCAAGGCTGAATTTGGCCATATGTCCTCCATATAAAAAAAGAGAGAGAAGTAACTGTTGGAATTCCTGTGTTAGCACATGAAGCAGCTGCCACATGTTTAATGGACTTTAATTCTATCTTGACTGAAGAAAAAATGATTAAGTACAGAGGTACCTGGAACTTGGAGCGTTGTGCTTACCAGAAGTTGTAGAAGGCTGTTCTGGGAGACTAGGCTCACATACCAAAAGTGTCCCCCTGCAGGAGAAGGAAGAAAATGGGAAACACTTCATGCTTGAGTGAGTCCGTGCACAAATTGCTAGCAGTTATTTTCTTTTAACTGGTTATCCAGCCATTAAAAGAAAAATCCACAGGATAACAGAATTTTTTTTTCACCCTGCTGTTGATAAAGAATCAGAGCATTACAGAACCTGTCTGAGATGCCCAAAGCAGAGAGATAGCAGGAGACAAGTACAACTATGGAGCCCAGCCCTACACTAGAACAACCTTTATAGAGTCATAGCTAAGTATTTTGGGAGTCATGAATATATGACAGTTAGCACAAGCCAAGCGGTTCCACAGCTCATCAATCTAATTCATCTGGCTGTTCAAACAGAATCACGCTGATCTCAATCTGAAAGTTTGTCCATGGATCACATTAGTGACAGTTTATGGTCACAAAGGCAAGGGATGTGCTGAGCAGTAGTCTTTTCACAGGACATGTATAGAACATGGCCCTGCAATATCACACATTTTTGCCCCTTTGTCCACAGCCTGCTGAAGGATGCCTGGACCTCCTCATGCCCCAGAACCAATTTGCTTTGTTCCTGTATTGCTTCATCTTCATACACGTTATCTACACAGCAAGGGACCTGTTGCTCTTCTTTGTTAAGAAGCATCACCTATTCATCATTGTGGTTACCTTGTTATATTTAATTAAAAAGCTCTGGGATTATTTGTGTTGCTCTCAGTTCTTCCTCTGAAAGGTCTACATTGTTGAAGCCTGATTGATATATACAGTGTTCTGATAGTAAGGGGATAGGCATCATATATAAGGATAAGAGAAGTATTACATGGAGCCAGATTTTTCAAAAGTAGACACTGATTTTTGAATTACTTCAGTGTTTGTCTTGACTTCCCCATGCCTGAAAAGTCACTGCTGTTAATGATATCATTGATTGACAATTGTGCAGAATTGTCCCTCTAATCCAGCATAGTTAGAAATTAGACACACTAATGATTTATTAGGTCATTAGATTGCCCTTGTCGGAGCTAACTCAGCATTGTTTCATACAGTATATTCTCCAATACTTTGTCCAGTTGCATTTTAAATGTTCCAGACAAAAAAGACCTGCATTTCCTGTGGGAAGTTATTCCACAGTATATCACCTCTCACTACGGAGGAGTTTCTTCTGACTTTTCCATTTCACAGTTTCATGCCTTTATTTCCAATTACACTGCAGGGCTCAAAGTAAACCACCACCAAAGGGGAAAGCAGTCACTACGCTGAGAAAGGGGTGTCAGGAGGACTCAGGGGAGATGGGATAGAGAGGAAGCTAATGGGAGAAAGGACATGAGTTCCCATTTCAAGCCCTGATACCTTGTTGGGAATCAGTGTAAGGTAGTGTGAATCTAGTCTTCCTTTGCTTTTGCCAAAATGCCCAAAATTGACACAAAAAGTGAAGTCAAAGCAAACTTTTTGAGTCACCAAAAATTTTGGAAAATTTCATTGTCAGTTCAGCACGAAATAATTTTTTCTCCATTTTTCAGAATTGCCTGTGAACAAAAACATTTTTTATTCACCCAGTTCTAGTGAAGAAAATTGTCAGTCATCCACACCAGGCCAGGTCTGCCCCTACCCTCTTTCTGTTCCCTTTAAGGAACCTAGGGCCAGCAGCAGTGCTATCATGGAACAATGTTAACACTACCAATCCAGATTGTGCCTGACGCCTGTCAGTAGGACAAGGCTCCTTGAAGTGTTTAATTTGTAATGAAAGAGGTGCCAACGCTCAAACAATATTTTTTACTTTTATAAAAAACGCAGTAAGTCCAGAGGTGCCATGGCTGTGAACTGCCAAGCCTAGAGGTGCTGGGGCTCAACCTTGGCAAGCCCTGGCACAAATTAAGCACTGGCTTCTTGTGCCTTTGATTAGGGCCTGGCTCAATCCATCCTTTTGGAAAGAGTCATAAAAATCAAATAATTTTGATGATTTGTACAACATGTATTTTTCTCCTTCTTTGGGACGCAAACTAAGACTGGGTACAATGATTTCTCCCCAACATGCACATGTGATGGCTACCGTCAAGGGCCACACCTCACCAGGGACTGCCAGAGTGGAAAGTATGAATCTCTACAGCCTGATCTTAAAAGCCAGGCTCTTAGATTGAGAATTACTGCACAACCACATCCTCTATGGGTCAAGCACAGAGGGAGATTCATGTAGTCACACACACACACTGATCAGTAGCTTACAATATATACTTTCTTTGGGTAGAGCTCATCCCCCATGTCTGAGGCCCATTGCCATTTGAATCTCAACACGTCCCTATTTACGTAATGCTGCTACTTTGGCCAGTGCAGGGTATCGAATAAGGAACCTGCAGCATTAAACACAGGAGTTGCTATAGGTTGTGCTAAAGAGCCTACCTTTAGAGGTAGGGGTTATAGCAGAGTCATATCCTTGGATAGGGAATCAAGGGGGACACCACACATTCTCCAGGGTGTTACACACACTCATAAGTGTGATCGGACTTGCCCTGTCTTGCTCTCCTGCCTGTCCCATATAGAGACTCCCAGTCTAAAAGCAGGGCACAGTATCTCTCCAACTTCTTCATATCAATGACTCAGCATGATGCTGTTGTGCCCTCTGCCAGCCACCATAACCTCCCAGCCTCAAACCTTCCCTTTAGCACCCACAGTACTGTTACATGAAAGTGTACTATTACAACAGCATTGAGGAGACCAGGAGAGAATAAACTTGTTTTGATGTTTTGTGTGCAAAGACTTGGATACATCCCCTGCCCCCATTACATTTATTAGCACCAAATTGTCTGCTGAGGGTCCACTGCTCTAATCACTCTAGTCCTTTTGCTGTCTGATTCTAGCCTCATGTGTTTGTCATTCCTTCAGTTTTAGTGTTATCTTCAGCTTTGATCACATATGATTCTACACAAAATGCACACCTGACAAAGACAGCCTTACCTGTGTCTGGGAGCTCTGCTTGAAGCCTGGCTGATGCTTCATCTTTGTGATTGAAGCAGCTCCATGGTTCATCTGGAAATGCCCCACAGACCATTACTAATCCACAGACCACACAGTGTGAGAACCAATCTCATAGCAATCACCCTCACTATCTTACTCACTTGAAGCCTAGCTTAGCACCTTGGCTTTCACACTGGTGCCGACAAGAGATTGAGAATTGTAGCCCCAGAGAACTACTATAAAGTATTAAATCACTTACCCTCTTGAATGCTTAAAGATAGTCATATGACTCATGATTCAGTGGAAGGGAAAGGAATCTGTGGGGTCCTACAGGAGGTGTCAGTAATATATCTGAAAACAGATAACCTCAAACATAACAGTCCTTGTGGTTTCCATTTACCTCAGTGCAGGTAAAGGGCCTATGCACATACACAGGCTGTCATCAGTGCTAGCCACTGGGAAGTTACAAGTGCTTCTTAACACAGGGTCCATTCACCACAGGGAACCTCCTCCTGGCTGCTCTGGGGATTAGCTCTTTCCAGGTCCAAGGCCCCCTCCCCCCATCTGCTGCTTGCTGCACACACTGTTTCCTCTCCCTTACTCTGTAACTCAGGGTTGCTTCCTCTTTGTGACTTGGCCCTCTGGCACGTTCCCCCCTTTCAGGGTATCAAAGTCTTTCCTTACCAGCAGTCCTAGCCAATCATAGAAGAATTATAGAAGATTAGGGTTGGAAGAGACCTCAGGAGGTCATCTAGTCCAACCCTCTGCTCAAAGCAGGACCAACCCCAACTAAATCATCTCAGCCAAGGCTTTGTCAAGTCAGGCCTTAAAAACCACTAAGGATGGCAATTCTACCACCTTCCTAAGTAACCCATTCCAGTGCTTCACCACCCACCTAGCAAAATAGTTTTTCCTAATATCCAACCTAGACCACCCCCACTGCAACTTGAGACCATTGCTTCTTGTTCTGTCATCTGCCACCAAGAACAGCCTAACTCCATCCTCTTTAGAGCCCCTCCCCCCCTTCAGATAGTTGAAGGCTGCTATCAAATCCCCCCTCATCCTTCTCCTCTGCTGAAGAAATAAGCTCACTTCCCTCAGCCTCTCCTCGTAAGAGAAGTGCCCCATCCCCCTAATCATTCTCATTGCCCTCTGCTGGACTTGCTCCAATTTGTCGACAACATTCCCCTTCACTACCCCTGTGATGCCACTTCCCTGGCAGTAGCTGCCAAGGGAACCCAGGACCACCCTCCACTCTGGGTTCCAACTCAAGGACTCTCTAACCAGCAACCAACCTCTGTTCTATTCTGGACCTTACTACCTTTTCCCTGAGGCTTTCCTTACCTTCTGGGTCTACCAGCCACAGAATGCCACCCTCCTTCCACAGAGTAACTCTACACACCTCTGTAGTACCAAACACACCTCCTTACTCCCAAGGAAAGACTACTTCCCTACAGCCCCTCTCTGCTATCTGGCTTTATAGAAGCCCCACTTGTTCCTGCACAGGTGAGCTTCCCCTAATTAGGGCTTTCCTCTCAGACTTAATTCTCCCAGCTTGCAACCTAATAGGTTAATTGGCCCATCTGGCCTCCATTAACTCCTACAGGGAGAGTGTGGGGTGAACATCCCATCACACTTGCATGCATACACACATATGCTTCTTAATAAGGGTAAATAACATCTTACAGTTATATAGTCCTTTAGAGCCCAAAAGATCCTTAAACCCTTTGCAACTTCTATGCACATAGCTCTGGTGAAATGCAGCCATGTCTGGAGTGACAGGTAACCAACCAGCACAGAGCATCTGCACAAGAGTGGGTACTCCAAATATTTCTTACCTTGTAAGATCACTGGGCCATCTTTTCCTTGTGTTTGTACAGTGCCTAGCACAAAAGATCTCAGACTGAGGTCTCAAGACTTAACCACAATACAAACAGTGAAAAGGCAAATTTGAGCTGAGGGCAAACCCCTTCTTTTACCAAATAAATGCTAAGGACCTTGAATTAGCTGGGAAAGCAGATGGGACCTTGGTTGTAACGGAATCCCCCAGGCAGTGACCTCTATGGAATTCAGTTTCTCTCTCTCAGAAGGATAAAGAATTGGAATGACCTTGCTGGGATTTGAACCAGTGGATTTGTGTAAACGTATAAAATTTGTGTAAATTTGTGTAAATGTGTTAAATGTTTGAAAGCAAAAGGAAGCTAGAACTGAAGATGTAATTACCTAAATAAAATAGCAGATCAACCAATCCAATTGCATCTAATAAACCTGCCCAGAGTAGCTTGTCACCATGATGCCAGAGGGCATGAGTGCATTGCCCCATTTCCTACATTGATGAGAAAAGTAATTCAGTTCCATAATTCCTCCCCATTTGCCAGACAAAGACAAGCTGTTAGTCTATCGAGCCATCCATACACATTTCTAACATATACGTTACTACACTATGTAGTTACTATAGATTAGAATATCAGATATGGCCCAGATACGCTTGGGGCACACACTTAAAATGCCGCAGCGGCACAGCTGCACCGGTACAGTTGCACTGCTATAGTGCTTCAGTGAAGACGCTACTACACTGACGTGAGAGCTTCTCCTGTTGGCGTAGTTAGTCCACCTCCCCAAGAGATGGTAACTATGTGGATGGGAGAAGCGCTCCCATCCACATAGCACTGTTTACACCTGGGCTTAGGTTGCTATAACTGCGTTGCTCAGTGGAATGGATTTCGCACACCCCTGAGTGATGTAGTTATACTGATGCAAGTTTGTAGACGTGGTCTTGGT